AGGTTCTTGCTAATGATATTTAGGAGTCACACCCAAACTTCGAGCCGTTTCTAATTCTTACACACTAAAATAAAATAATGAACTAGAAAGAAAATCATTCATGTATTCACTTTGGGCAAAGTGCTTAATTCACCACCAGATGACACAGTGCTTTAGTTTTCACGTGAGAAACGTTTTCATTACTTTTGGTGGTATAATGCTAATTATTATTGTCTTTTAGACATTACGTGCAAATTTTAAGAGGTACATTTGACAATTGAAACACTTTTCCATCTTTCCCCTCTCCTACATCTTTATCAGTGACAAATTTCAAGACTTATTAATCCCTTAAAAGTTTTTATTGGTCTTAAAATTAGAAAATTTCTCAGAGGTGACAATTTTTGAAAAACAAATGAAAGTTGTAGAAAAGAAGCCTAGTGAGCCTTTAAAAACATATAACGAAGTTTCTGGGCAATACAAAGTACCCGAATTTTAAATCAATTGTTGGGGACATGCTGCAGAAGTACAAAAATTCTGGCTCTTCCATGAGCTTAAAGATTCACTTTCTAAATTCATAGATACACGATTTTCCTGAAATCTGTGCTTCGCTAGAAAGAAGTGGGTCAGAGATATCATCAAGATATCAAAAACATGGAAGAGAGGTATCAAGAAAAATGGACTAATTCGATGGTGACTGACTATTGCTGAATGTTACACCGAGACGAATCCCATCAAGAACATAAACGAAAAATCGCGCAGAAGACCATGAACGGTCCATGGAAACTTCGATATACATGAAATAAAATTGTATAATTTACGGGCATTGTTTAACTATAAGATAAGGAAAAGAAAAAAATATAAAAAAACCGTTTTAAGTCAGTTTTAAAATCTCACATTTTCGCAACTTTTCGATGTTTACTAGATTCTTTAAATTGCAATTTCCAAACAAAAATAAAAACCTGTGTGGATGGAAAAAAATGAACTTCATTTTAGGTTTCAGCACTAAAAATTGTATAGGAATCAATTAACGAATGACATTAGTCAAATTTTGCAGGCTTATGTAATCGCTACTAAAATGTTTTGAAAACTCTACATCTTGAGCGAAGAATGAAGAAAATTTGAGGATTAGGCTGGCAATAAATTTAATTTAAAACTATGATGCTCCAGAGATTCGTGAAAATCTTAATTATTGCTGATATCGGATTTTTTAATAAAATAGATTAATTGCTTTCGTGACTAATTCTTTAAAAATGTACTTTTCTTTCGCAAGGACGACGTCGAGCCATAACTGAGAAATGGATTTCTTGTGAACTTCTGCGAAACATTATTCCATGCTTTTCAAATAGAAAATATGTCCTTTGTTTCCAATTGTGTTTTTGTCTCCCTTCTTTGATTTTCTTTGTTTCGTGCACAAATTATTTCGAAGTTATTTAAAAATATGTGAATTTTATTTCTGAATTCTTTCTTCTTAATGTTGAATAAATTTAATAATTATGATGTGCTTTCATTCAAGTACTTATCTGCCAAAAAAATTATGATAAGAAAGAAAAGGTAAAAGTACTACTTTTTATACTTCCATCTGCGGCAGAAAAGAGAAGTCTGTAGAGACACAACTTTCATTTCCAACTCCATGAAACTTCTTAAAGCATAAATGGGACATGAAGGGAAAATTTTGTCTCTAAGCAGAAGAAATTCTAAGAAAAGCAAGCTAAGTTTTCATAGTAATAATTGTTTTCAATTACCATTTGACGATTTGCTAAAAACTGTTAAAAAGGTTATTCTTAAGACTAATAGGTAATGAGCTCTTCTTTTTCTAACGTATAATAATAGACAATAATCACTTATTGCATTATAAATTCTTTTAACTTGCAAAAATTAAATAATTATGATTTATACAGTGAGAAAACTCGATTAAGTATTAAATAAATTAAATGGAAAAATTCATTACGTAATTTAAATATTAAGTTTAAAGCAAAGAAAATGTACAGCTACAGCTTATTGAGCCAAAATAGCCTGAAATGTAACACAACAGTGCAGTTCCGAAGACATTTTAGTAGAATAAAGGAATTTGCAGCTAAGTTCTCATATGCAGCAAGTTAATATGCGGAGGGTGCAATAAGTAATAACAGTAACATAATTACTTCGTTAAAATTAAATTATAAATTAAAAAAGATATATAATTAAAAGATATATATATCATCGTGAATTTTCTAAAATGTAACATGAACGTCTTCATCAAAAGCTAGACTCTGCCAGAAAAATAAGATTACAGGGCACGTCTATTTAAACATTGACGTTAATGCCTATCTCGCTAAACTGGCAAGATATCCCCAAGCTGGTAATGATTTTGTCGGCTAATTTTTGTCGCCAAATTTCTCTAAAAATCGCCAATTGGTGCCAAACTTTATGATTATTTAGCGACATATTGCAGTCGTCCCTGTTTAATTGCAATTGGTACTGTAATTGAATAACTCTAATATATACTTACAAGTGACCGTATTCGATCCTGATACGTAACTTTAACGGTACATACTTTTGTACTGGAGACGGTGGCCAAACATTATGGCAAAAGTTAAGTTTAATGTACAAGATATCGTTTCCAAGACTAATTGTTTAACTTATTTAACGTGTAATGGAATGTGCCCAATAAGCAAAGGTATTCCAACTAGAACATAAATCTCAACGCGTTGTGAGGATGCAATAATCCAATTGTTAAAATACCTGAATTATCGACAGTAATTTTCAATAATATTTAAACATGTTACTTACCAAATAGTGTGTGTATCTAAAGAAACACACACAAGAAACATATTTTTTTGCACATTTTGATAATTTTATTACTTAGCGTTTTCCTGAATTTACTAATTTCTTGAATAAAGATATATATATATCTACAACACTTTATTGTTACACAGAAGTTATAGTTAATAATTGAACGAAAGAAAGGGCACATCGTGATAGTATTCATAGCATCGGTTGCTCGTGCACAGATTCATATCTTGAAACATCTGGATTAATTAAGAAAACACAAAATATGTTGACACATAGGGGCGAATGATATGCTCTTCAAATCACAAGAAATGTTTTAGCATGTACGAAGAATTATTCAGGCATTACTCATGAGTTCGTTATACCTGCAGCATGATGGATGAAGCTGGCTGAAGTCGGCGGTAATAATCCGTTTCAACTTTCATATGGAAACAAGTATAAAAAAATTCCTATAGTTTTGTGTATGTTTGAAATATTCATCCATGATGTTTTCGTAAAAAAACTGGAATTTGTAGGAGATTTTGACCAGACATTCACTTCAAAGTGTGCAGAAACAAAGTTGTGAAAAAGACGAGGCGAGGCGAAAACATTTCCTCCTTTCAGCTCTCGGTGGAATAACGTGTTACAAAACCGGTTCGGTCCGACTTTATGCTTTCGCGGTTTGCGATGACGATTAATTTCATCGAAGAGGCAGGCTTTTACAACTTTCTAGTAATTTCGAGAAATACAAGGTACTGGAGGTTTCTGGGAGGCAGGGGGAATATAACATAAAACCGGAGAGAGCATCATTTCTCAGTTGCTTTTAATTAAGTTTTGACTTTGGAGTAATGAGAGATCTCTGCGCGGGTTCGATTCCCGGCGAAAGAGGTTGCTCATTTTTCATCTTGCCTGCTTCCAAAAAATACCTAATGTCTCTACAGTTTAAAGTGGTAACTACTGTCTGTGCTCTATCGTACTGAGAAGAGACGATTAATTTTGTGGAAAGTTCCAGAACTGTGAAGTGTTTCTTTTGGGAAAGTAAATTTTATCAGACAGTCATCGGTTTTGTGTGCATTCGAACCATTACGAACCCTTACGCACTCAACACCTATACACATTTAATTTAGAATTAATTTAGAAGCAAGCAATCTTGAGATTGTCTCTAAATTCATGTCGGTTGTGGTATTAGTATGAAGAGTATAATTTCCAGAAACAAAATTTTAGAAAAAACATTCATTATCTTTTACTCGGGCATCTAAGATATTTCAGAAACTCTTTCCTGCTGCTTAATTTTTAATAGCTCAAATTTATGCAAAAACAGTTTTGTTTCCTCTTTACACCTATCTTGATAGAAACTGAATCTATATATCCATAAAAATGTCCTAGTATTTGCGTTTCAATATTAAATATAATCAAATTTTAAGATAATTTATCACTAAAAATGATTTTATGTTTGTTAATAATTGTAGAATTTAAATAACTTCATACATTCTACTAAATTTACTTTTTTTTTTTTTTTGGTAACTGTGAACGCCTTTTATCTTTATTTTAAAATATCATATATGTATTTAAAAAAAAAAGGTTTTCTGGGATTTCTGGGATAGTTTAAAACTGGCATGACTTTCCATAAAATTAAATTATTTTAAAATTTCAGTGCAGTCTTTTGCTGAAAACGTGGATCTTAATTCTGTACGAATTCGTCAAATTTTATATGTAGAATTTCTAAGCTTTCGAAAGATAATGTGGATAAACCATTTAACTAAAATTAATTAAGGTTTATTGAACACCTTAATTAACTTTTTTGCAAACTCTAGTTTTCTATTGCATTCTATCTGATTCAAACGAATTATATCTGATCAAAATGAAAAATAACGAACTACGAAATCCACGTTTCAGGTATAAAACCATCTTCTAACATGGACAAAGGATGTACGCCAAGTGAAAGGGGTGATTTTCCGTCGATCGATCAGCGCATGCGCAACACCACCCACTCCCCTTTTCCCTTTCTCTAGGTGTAACTTTTCACTAATTATTCACCACGTTTCTTTTTGTGATTCCTTTTCTTTATCCCCTTCCCTTCCCATCACACTTGCACAACGTATCATAAAAGATTTTTACTCCCCTTCTCACCATAGTCGACCCCCTACGTGGATCGTTGTTTTAGTTTCACTTTTATTTTTTCCAGACACGTGCTATAGATCAAGCGTGCGCGCTTTTCCCTCTCTCCCTCTTTCTACCTCTTCCCAGACGAAATTCGAATGATAGACAGCGCTATCGTTTGCTCGTTCGGCAGTGTATAAAAGCACGCGAAGATCGTTCTGCTCTTAAACTTCCCATTCGCGTCCCATCTAGTTCTCATTTCCGCTGAACGCCTTCAACTGACCAATCAACGTATATCCCGATAGCCCGATGGCATTTAAGGTAAGTTCCTCGAATTTTCGTTTGCCGTTTAAAACGATTTTATAAATCATTCTTAAATGTCTTCTGCGATAATAGAAATGACAGTTAATATCGGTTTTAATAGAACACTTTCTGGAATGTTTCACTTAATATCTGGCTAAAAATGTGTCTATAGGCCATTACTGATTTAATGAACTGATGTTAAATACATTGAATAATATTAAAGTCTAAACAAACCGGATAATAAAAAAATGAGGATTAAATGATTTTTTAATAGTTACTGTAAAGACTGCATTCGTTTGCCTTTAATGACCAAACCTTAATTTTATGCATGAAACTATTTTGCCTTTAAACATTGTAAATCTAACTTTTCTTAAACATATTTTTAGTTAGGTTATTTCTTAAATAGTTAAATAAAACTATAATATTATAGAAAATTCATAATTCTATGAAAACTAATAATAAAGTTTAAAACTGATCTGATATTTCAGATTTATCTTTTTGTATTATATAATGCACTTTTTTTTCGTTTTACTATGAATCATACCTCCTTTTTGATAATTCTCAACTTATTTTTTAAGTTTTTTTACCTTTAAGGCTTCGTCAATTTTCGAAGCATAAAAACATTCACAAATACTTCGATCGTTAGCACAATTAAAAAAAAATTACCATCAGAATTTGTTGCAGGTCATAATTCTAAAAAACTACCTTTTAATCTCCCAATCCAAACTTAATTAATAATTCAACCAGCGATTGAATGGAAACAGAAATGATTTAAAAAATCATTTGTTCAACTAATAAAAATTAATTTATTATTATTTATTACTACTAAGAAAGAGATGCTTTTAAGTCATCTAGGATTTCTTTTAAATTTTTTATATATAAATTGTAAAATATATATAAAATAATGATAAATAAATAAAAATGTTCAAAGTAACAACTCGGTAATTGCTCAAGAATATTTAATGCATATATCTTACAAATGAATTCGTCACTGAAGAAATGTACTGAAAAGGTGCTCTACTTCAGAGAAACTGCTACTGAAAAGATAACTATTACTTATTTTTTGCTCCCTAGACAGAGTAGTGCATGTACATCATATTTTAGCAATTAGTAGAAAGCTTTCCTTTTTTGAGTAAGAAGCTAAAATACAAACCATACTAAGTGGGCATTTAACTACACGGAATGAAATAAATTTTATATACTAGTTTCATATCTGGCTATTACGTATTATGATGTAAATTAATATATTTTGGGGGATAATTTTAATATCTTAAATATATCCAAAACAATTAATAAACAGCTCTAAATTTCAAACATTACGTATTGTCTACACAGAATCAGAAAAATTGTCTAAACAGATTTGTCTAATCAGAATTAATTCCGATTATTGCTTTCTAACACTGAAGATCCTCCGTTGGACCATTTCTAATTAGGTAATGATATGGCTACAGTGTTAAACTAGCGGTTTCACTCTACAAACCCTTTTAAAAGCTCTGTTAACTCCGGCAAAATTTCCCCCAACAATGTTCAGAGGTGATAAAATGGTGGTAGATTAGAGCAAATGGGGAAGTGGTATATTAAAACAGTTTTAATACATAATATTTACGTGAAACAAAACGCATTAATAATAAATTTTATAACTAGAAGATTTTTCAAGCTTTATTTAAGCTGTAAAGATTTGTTCACCTTTAATTATAAGTTCTTTAGTTATTTTTAAGTATTTTATTGATTTTAAAATAATTTAATATATGAAGAATGATATCGCTTCAAATATTAAACTAAAGAATAAAACGGAGTTTTCTGAAATGTAATGGCATATATACATGTCAACTTCATTTGCATTTAGAATGTGAAAGCTACTAGGACTACCATTCAGAATGTAAAGATTAAAAGTAAATCTATTACCACAAAAATTCTGAGTGAAAAAATACAACTAAACATACGAAATAGACTTCTTTAGGTATCATATTACCCTTAACTTACAGCTGCCTCACCAGCGGCCAAAGTTAAGACTGCTGAATACTCAGAGCTCAACCTGGATTCAGTGTCAAACGAAATGGCTGGATGCAGGGCTAGTTTTCGTGGTTATCTCTATAAGAGAATGAGCTTCGTGTGCACGTAAACACAAGCCACATTCTCTTAGATCACTTCTCCGCCAAACTGCTGCCGGCAACCAGCAACCGAGCGGTAAAGTCGCTTTCAGTTCGAGGTTCTAATCTCGCGGACGGGCTAGCTGCATTGACGTTTTCATGGTTTTCCCCCCTTGCAACGTGTATACGAGCCAGTTTCGCCGAGAAAGTTCTCCACAAAAGCAGCCCTTCCTTTAGACCGACGGCCTTCTAGGCTTTGCCGTAATTACATAAACCAAACCAAACCACCAAGTCACTGTTTTTGTCACAGACAACTCTTATGTGATATTCCAATAATCTAAATTCATCTAACCTAATTTTATGCAAGCTAGACTAAATTAAACTGACTGACCACCAAAATGTTCACGACTCCTGAGTTACTTATTTATCGCTTACAGCAGCTAGAATAGCAGCAGTACCTCGTGTAGCAACAGAAAGCCAGAACTCTCCCTTACTGGGGTATTGCAGCGGCACCGGATGTTTGAAAACTTAGATAGCAGTTATTCCCATTCAATCAATTCTCGCGCTTTTGTCTGTACTTTTGTCTGTACTTAGTCCTTCCTTTACATATTCCTCGCGCGAGAAAATAAAATTAGAAAGAAGAAGAGATTATAAAGATTAATCGGTAAGTAAGAATAAAAATGCCTTGGAAATTGCTAACGCTAATAATATTGAACATACACTTTCCTTCAGTGGTAACGGTGCAGAGATGTTAGGTTATTTTAAAGCAGAAGGTTCGAAAAATGTGCAATGCCCTCGCCAGGACGCGAACCTGGATCTCTCGGATACGCGCCGAAGGAGCTATCGTTACACCACGAAGACATACTGGAACGAGGGAGAAAATACTTTATATACTTCGCGTGGCCTATTATGACCATGAGACCAACTTTGGTTAGGTGTGTTGGGCTGCACTCACTACTGATACCTTATATACTCCCCTTTCAAAGGGCGACTGGGGGATTAGGAGACCCATTTGGCAAATCCTGGATGAGAAGAATTATCATCCACTCCTTTGTAATTCGCGCGCCACATGCAGAGTCATTAGGTTATTTTAAAGCAGGAGGTGTGAAAGTGTGCAGTGCCGTACCCGGGACTCCAACCTGAACCTAACTTGCTAAAATTACTTGCTAGGGTATTGAATTCTAATCTTATGTGTCACTTGCTAAAGTTTTGTTCATAAGTACTGTGTTCACACAGATGTAACCATTTTTAATATCTATGTTTTGTAACACTAATCAATGTGCCCTATGAGTGGATCTCGTGTGACTCTAACATGAGTCAGCTTTAGATAAGAATGGACGTGGCGCTAAACCAATTAACCATAATGGTAAAGGGGTGGTGCCCACGTCCTCCGTCACTAAACTAAACTAATATGCGCCGAGTGTGCTACCATTACATCACGATGGCATACTGGTAGGAGGCAGAAATTATCTTTTTAAAGGAAATTATGTACAATAATATCATTCCATCATCTAACTGGATATCTTTCCCAGTGATTTTTTTTTTTTTTTTTTTTTTTTTTTTCGTTAGTTGAAAAGTTTTTTTTTCTTAAATTAGCAAATGAAAAATTTTAGAAAAATCATGTGTTATTTATAGACGTTTAATCAAGATTACCGGAATTTAGAATATAATAAAAGACTTGATTGGGATTGATCCAAAATGCAAGTTCCGTTATTAAATTTAGTTGCCGAAATTATTTATTCTGATTATTATTTAATTATTAAATTAAATATTTTAAATTTTTTTCAGAATATTAAAGATAAAGATTTCCATTTCTCGTTTCATTTCCAGTCCGAATATTACAATTATATAAAATAAGGAACATAATAAAGTTGTCGAATAAATTGTGGCTAATCTTTGAACATTTCGTCACCTCACCCATCATATTGTGAATACTGCATGGGAGACTTTCTGGGAGACCTGTTCTAATTGTTCACTTTAAGCATATCTCTCAATTGCGCAAAACTTATCTTACAATTAGCTATCCTTATTACAAAGTTTTACCAATATCGCATTCCCTTGAGCATTATGTTTAGCCCTAATCCCCGTGCGCCCATTTGTGCCCTAGGCTTCTGGATAATTAAAATTCCTGGTGGGGACGATATTGGCCCCTTTAAAAAAGCATTGCTCTAGCAAATTGTTATAATTTCATAATGGATATTAAAGTAGAAAAAAACATTTAAACTAAATCTAATCCTAATATGATAGACATAGCCTAGCCCAAATAAAATACAGGAATCAAACTTTTCTGAAGGCTGCCTCTCTCAGATATAAAAAATTTTGAGGTTAAATTGTTCGATTAAAAATGAAATTAAAATGCATTTCACTCGTTTTTGAATGAACATGCCATTAATTAGAAACTTCTAAAATTTTTCTTGTGCCTATAATAAATTAAAATTTATTATGTCTTCCACTTTAAATCTTACGTTAAGAAATAGAAATTATTAACAGAAATTACTCGGCATTACAGAATGAAAGCCTGATTTTTCTCCCAGAGATTTTCAAGCAAAGTTTTACTTTGAAACCTGTTTAGTAATGCGATTACTCGGTACGGAAGTACACAAAGTACGATTTTAGTCTTAAAATGTATTTGACTTTTTTCTGTCCAAACTTTTAGAAACTCCAAAAATGCAGTAAATTACTGAATATTAATATGGGTATCCATATACAGAGGAGTAATCCAACTTATGCAGCTTCAAAAGCAATAACATCAGAGTTTTGACCAGAGTACCCTGCCTGATGAATTCCGAAAGTCTTATTTCTCATTCTCTGCCAAATGAAAGGATTTTCAGATGAGATAGGAAGAAGTGAACGATACACCAGAATTTTGACAATGGTTTCACAAGATATAGTCTCTATACTGTACTAACTGTACAGCTTCATTCTAGT